GAAGCTGTTCCAGCTGAGGTAGTCGATGCCATCCCTAGAGATGATGCTCCTTCCATCGTTGTTGTTGCTGCTGTTGATGATGATGATGATGATGAAGATGATGAACCTACCATCCCAAACCCTGGAAGTGACCTAGATGGTGACGAGGACGATGATGATGAAGATGACTTTACCATCAAGTACCAGAAGCCATCAACCACCACCGAGGGAGTCACCCTCAGGGATTCTGCATCCCAAGGGCAGCAAAGGGAAAGTGAATCTACTTCATCAAGGAACCAGGACCCCAAGTCAAAAGGCAAGGCGGTCGCTGAAGAAGGAAATTTAAAGGTATTGTTTAATATCCCTCAACAACCTTTATTTGAAGATTCTACCTCTCAGGTAGTAATCACTTCAAAGTATCAACTTCATATTCCATCAAACCACCTACGGTCAGCTGGAGTGGGTCCCTGATCACCCTATCTCCAGTGCTCCTACAGACCAGCAGATGACTCAGCTAAAAGAGTCACTCGACCAGACGAGAGTAAAAATTCATCTTCATACCTCTAGTGGTGGTGAGTTTGACTACCTATACGAAGCTAAAAGACTCTAGGCATTACGGGCTGAAGAAGAGGTAGAGCTTCAGAAGAAGCAGGCTGAAGACAGCTTAAGGCTGGCCAAGTCACTAGCTGCGAAGATTCTCCCCAAGAGAAAGTCCAAGAAAAAGGTGAACGCTGTCCAAGCCTAGGCTAAACTTCTTTCTATTGCAGAAGCTGAGCATGAGAAGAACCTAAAGCTGGGGGAAAAGGACAAGCGATGGAGCGAAGCAAAGCTGAAGAAGATAATCAGTCCCCGCCCGATTATCAGCGTCAACATCAGCGGAAGTTCAAAAGACGGTGGAATGTTGGTCTCAATGCTTATCACCAGGGACAATCTCGATGCCATCACCGAGTATCCTTCCTACCTTGGCCGATATGGATACAGTGAATGGATGGAGATCAGGCAAGCCATTCAGCGATCCAAATCAATACATAAGGCGATTATCGAGGACACCATCATCGATCTCATCAATCGAATGTCCAGGTATGTCGCGGTCCCTGACAAGCCATCTCTAAAGAAAGGTGGGAAGAAGAAACTCAAGCTTTCTGCTCCTAATGATGGACCATCCCTAAGGAACGAACATGAAACAAGGTTCTCCGTAGATGAAGTCCTGAAGGGTCATCAGAGTATAGACATTTCTATGTTGAATCTTGACTTTCCAGATAAGGGTCCCTATACACCCAATGCTGTGCATTTCAAACCTGAGTTAGGAGTTATATTCCTTGACTATGGAGGTGAAGTCAGATTCCAGAGAATGTCCGAGCTACATCTATGTCCAATGGGTCATTTGGTTTACCTCTTGCTCTGGATAGATGATAACATGCCTGGAAAAGTCATTGATCTGAAGATACGAAGGGAATGCCTACGTCGAAGAAACCTTGGTGAAGATGTACCTAGCTACATAGATCTAAGTGTTATAGAATAGTTTCTCTTTGTAACAACAATCTATTTTTCCTTGTAAATCTTTTGTACTATGTCTACTTTCAGTGATTATTCTTATAGTCTATAAGTATTAGACATGTACTGAACTACTTGAAATATCACCAATGATAATAAAATGAGTATTTCATGTACTTCACTGAAAAAGATCTCTGAAAAAAGTAATAGGGACACAAGTCTATGAGTTCCAGTGTTACTTTTTATATTCAATGACAATCTATAAGTCAACGAATAAGCTTTCAGTTTCAGTTTCCATACTTGTAATTTTTAATTTCCTCTCTCTCAGTGATTTGATGATAATCTCTTTTTACTTATATGTTGTATTTATATTTCTGTTTTTTCAGTTCCAGCCATCATCACTGAGCCTGTTCAGTGATCCCTGAAGAACTTGCATTATAATTCAATCAGAGATAGCGATACTTCAAGAAGACAACACTCACACCAAACAACCTTCAGTTAATGTCGAAGATTGAAACTGAAGATTAGAGACTGGCAAGTACATGATCTAAAGCGGTACTCAGTGATTACAAGCCTGTCTACATATGTGTGAAGACTGCTCAAGCTTCAACGAATGCTGAAGAGACCTCCAGGTTATTCCAGCGTTCAGCGATCAAAGGAAGCTTGCTTAGCACGATTGTTGTTATTTTGTCCTTATGCACACAAAGGACAAACCCATACCCTTCTAAACGTTGGTATGGTACGCAACCCACTAGTTGACTCTATTGTCCACCAACTTTAGGTAAGGATGTCTGCTCATGAATAGTGCTTTTTGTACTATTCATTGTAGCAAAGAACAAGCCTTCCTCATAAGGCTTAACACACACTCTAACCCTACCATTCTGCATTAAATGAACATTTAATGCACTGTGTATAAATAGAAGTGTTTCTTCTCCATGCAGAGTGCACGCAACTCACTCTCTTAACCTAATTTTTACTTTAAGCATTTTCTAGCTTAAGTAAAAGAACTTTTCTTTACAACATTTCTTTTCTCATTTGCTAAGGCTCGTGTGTAACCAAAGATTGTTTAGATAGATTTTTCTTACCTTATCTTTACGCAAACAATCTTGTAAAATTTGTTTTGATCTTCTTTATCAATATACATTTTAAATTTGAAAATATTGTATTTGTATTCATCCGCTCCCCCCCTTCTACAAAATGTTTTACTTATCTTGTAGACCCTCAAGGGACCAACAAAATCAACAAATTCTCCTAGCTAACCAATTAGTAACAGATTTTAACCTCATATTATAGAATTCAAATACAAAGCCATATTTGTGAAAATATAGAGGGAAAAAAATGAAACAAGACCTAACCTCAATTTGTGTTTGTTTTATTTTTGAAAAAGTCGAAGAGAATTGTCACTRTATCYATCGATCCTTGTTCATCCCTCGAAAAAATGGTAGAAGCCATAAGTATCCCTTGATCTATGTTCATTGTTGAAAAAATCGAAGAAAATGGATGGTGATTGAAACTGAGAAGATGTCATTGTTCTTGCTTCCTTGGAGATGGAGGATAGATGATGATAATTAAGGAAGAAAAGATGAAGAGAGAGAGAAAGAGAGAGAGAGAGAGAGAGAGAGAGAGAAGGTGAGGAGATCTTTTAATTTTTTAAATGACTTTTGGTTTTTTTTTTTTTTCTCTTTTCCTTTTTTAAATTTCATATTTGATACATATACTTGTACCTCATACAAAAGCACTTATACACTAAGGGGTGTTTGGAATTGCTTATAAAAATAATTTATTGACTTATTTTGGTGTGACACCGGTAATAAACACTTTTTAGTGTTTGGATAAACAGCTTATACCGGTCCCAAACCGGTAATAAGAAGTTTTTTAAGAAATTAAATCATTTTAACTTATAATAAGTTGATAAGTACTTTCGTAGAAAAATATAAGTTGTTTCAATTAAGCAATCCCAAACACCTCTAAATATTTTTATTAAAAAATATATAAAAGAACCAAAATACCCTTATGTGACTTGCACAAGAAGCATTTAACTGCAACAACTAATAACTGTTAGCTTTAGGGACCTTAACCAATGCAAAATCCAAATCACAAGGGCTAGAATGTAATTGAAAAAGTCGAGAACCAGATTTTTGATATTCATGGGGACAAAAATGTAATTCACTCTATTTTATTAATCAGATCAACAAAAAGTAATAAATACATTTTGATTCATGTCAAAATTGGATAGATTGATTAATAAAATTTAAAGAGTAAATTACAAATTTTGTCCCTATGGTTTCGTGAAAGTTTGGATTGGGTCTTTCAAATGAAGTAATTACAGGAATGGTCATCGTGGTTTCATATTTGTTATGGATTAGGTCCCACATATTAACAACAGTTTAAAATCTTTGTTAACTTTAAAAGCATCTTCATGTTTTCGTTGTTTATGATTTTTTTATTATTATTTCAAGGACATGATTTGTCAATATCTAAAATCACTAATAATACAAAAGAAAAACAAATAATCCACCCGTTTACCCAATGTACAATGTCTTCCCCCATCATGGACCCTCCCTAAATAACTTACCTTCATTATCCCTGTTTTCAATATTTAATTCTAGAACAAGCTTGCACCGCCATTAACAAAAAGAAGACAAGAAGCTTCATAGAACAGAGGCATATATCAAGTCATTCCAGATTTGATGAAGAAATCAAACCTATCATTTCTTTTAGTGAAAATCCTTGGGTTGAAGAAACCGAAGGATGCTTTCAGAAATCGGAGGTTCTGCATTTCCTACATCTTGTTCTCTGTGATTTTTGGGTTTTGGATTTTATGGTTTTAGCAATGGTTTTTTATATGATATGACTTTTAGGGTTTTTGATTTAAGTTTAGGATTCTTGATGCTGTTGTGTTTTTAACGAGTTATTATCAAATTTGATATTTTTTGAGTTTTGTATTTAATTAAGATTTTTGTTTGGGTTGATCCATGATATAAAATCCATATCTACAACACAAATGGTTTTAGAAATAGTTTTTGTTGTTCTTAAAAGATGGAGTCTGTTGTTGATTTGTTCTTCAAAAATAAATGAGTTTGTGTTGTTGATTTTATTCTTCAAAAAAAGGGTTTATTTTTGTTATTCAAAAATGGGTTTTTGCTATCGATAACGTGCTTCAATTATTATTTTTATGGGCTTGAATTTTTGTTCTTGTTTTGATTTTGAATACCRTTTTTGTTTTGGGAATTTGAGGAAGAGATGGCAGAGAAARGGAAGTTTATTGAATCTTAAAAATTGGTAAAACAGGTTCTTAAAAAAATTACATGTTTTATAACATAGCGAAAAATGAGCATACATCTAAGTTAATGGAGATTTTAAACGACTGTAAACATGAAGGACCTAATCTGTAACAAATATGAAACCATAGGGACAAAATTCGTAATTTAGTCAAAGTTGAAAGTGTTGATTAGATATGTTGCAGATGCGATCCAATCCAAAATTTCATGAAACCACTGGACAAAATTCRTAATTTAGTCAAAGTTAAAAGTGTTGGTTAGATATGTTGCAGATGCGAGAAGCATGGTACCACCATAACCATTAAGATGTGGCACGTGCAAGCTCTGTCAGCTCCAACTACCACTTCCATGTCACCAATGGCAAAGCTCATGCTCCACAATAAACACAGATCAACCCCTGGTCTTCGACTCAAAAGCCAGGAGATGGAGATGGAGATGGAGATGGAGATGGAGATCAACCTCCGTTCTCACTTCCTTCAACTTCTTTCTACTCGTCGTTCTCCTCAAGGTAATCTTTCTTCAATTTGGAATMTATGTGTATTTAGGGATCAAAGCATACTATTAGTTAACAATTCATATGATTACCCCTCTTTTGTTATGAACTCGATCACTATCTAATTTAAACATATAAAGCCAATTGGTTATTGGTGAATGTAGATTACGGCAAAGAGACCAGTTTTAAACCCCAAAGGAAATAGATTATAGTAAGAAATGTYGTGATGTGGTTCAAAAGTTGAGTTATTWAGGATATCTTGGCTTGTGTGTGTTAATGTACCTTGAGTAGTTACCAGCAAGAGTAGAGTAGTAGTGTAAATTGATTTATAAGTTGTTAATATTTTAGTGAATAAGGTCAATTCCCACTTGATTTCATCAGTTATTTTCTCAACAAGTTTAGAATCTGCAAYAATCTTTAGAGATGAAGTAGAGTCCTGTAGTTTCTATGTTTTGTTCCACCTCAAAAGTCAAGCACAAGAGTAGTTACTTTAGTCCTGTAGTTATTCAATTCGAGTGTGATATTTCATTTGTGAATTTATACTGTATGTTGATAAGAGATATAATTGGTCTTTTCAGTTCCACTTGAGGCACAACCTGCAAAGCCTGTGCTGGAACCCTTATATCAGGGAACTCCACCACCAAAATTTAGTCAGGTGGAAATTGATTCATTTACCTTTCTCTTTGTTAATTGCAAGTCGTCTTATTAGTTTAAAACACTGCCACTGCCAGCCAATGGAATCTTGTCCAAAAGCAGACATTCCCAACTTGAAGGAACTGCTTTATGAAGAAAACTTGTACTTAACCACTGAGGTTCACCCTTTTTCTCCCTCAGTTCAATCATTTACAGTTTATGAATAATTCTGATTTTAATATCATGTTTCATTATTGTATTCCAATTAGGAAGGAGAGCAAGGAAAATTGCCTGTACTTATCTTGAGTATGAAAGAAAGCAGGCATTCCAAAAGGCCAGCGGTTGTTTTTCTGCATAGCACAAATAAGTRCAAAGAATGGCTACGCCCGTTACTTGAGGTACGAATTTTTTGTGGTTTTTCTTCAGTCTTTTACGATTTTTTGACAAAGAAATGGTTTGTGCATTTCAGGCTTATGCTTCATTTGGATATATTGCTGTTGCTGTTGATTCTCGTTACCATGGAGAACGTGCCAAAARCGTCACCACCTATAATGATGTCAGCATTCAAACCTATGTTGTTTGCCAAGAAAGATGCTATAAACTATTCCTTTCATCTATAGAAATTGCAATGTCTACTGTTTTGACACATCTTTAGGAGTTGTTTTGCTCAATGTTCCAAACTATTTTGTTAAGTATCACTTCAACTTTGTAAACCTTGTAAAATAATGGTAATTAGTTAGACCGAGARGCTTTTAAAGATTTATCCATATGGAAAGCAGGATRCTAAGAGGTATWTTCAAGCATTTCATGTAGGCCTTAGATGTTTATGCCTGGATGGTCTGATTTTAAAATGCTTTGAGGTGGTTAGAAAACAAATTGCGACCATTGGTCAAAAAGAGATGTTGCATTTGTCTGTATGAGCTTCATCATAGGAGAATGTTCTAATTATCTTGCCTAATCTTTAACCATAATCTGATTTCCTATGTTCTGGATCCAGGCACTTGTTTCATCATGGAAAAGAGGTGATACAATGCCATTCATATTTGACACGGTTATACTTCTGTCACACTTGAAAGCTTTATTTCAAATTCCGTACATTGCTCGTTAATGACCAAATTTGAACCTCAGTTTTCATTTTTATTTTTTGTTTTATTTATCATTTGACAGGTTTGGGACCTTGTAAAGTTAGCAGACTATCTTACTGGAAGAGATGATATAGACCATTCCAGGATAGGAATTACTGGGGAATCACTTGGAGGTTGATGAAGCATAATTAAATCAATAAGAAGATGCATTTATATTTCKTGAATTCCATAACTGAAATATTGCTCATTCATGCAGGAATGCATGCATGGTTTGCTGCTTTTGTTGACACACGTTATTCAGTGGTTGTCCCCATAATTGGTGTTCAGGTATGTCTTGGTGAAAAGATTCAGTTTCTTACACAAGAATGCTTATTGAAGGAASTTGGCTGTGTAGGGATTTCGTTGGGCCATTGATAATGATCAATGGCAGGCTCGAGCTGACAGTATCAAGTCTGTGTTTGAAGGTATTTTACAAAAGAAAGATGAATCTATGTTCAATGTTTGATAAATTGCTACTTCTGTTCTGTATGGCATGGAGCATTTCAAGACCTAACTTCTATCTTGACTTCCAAATCGACTCTGTTTTCTTCCTAGAATTTGAATCACATTCTCTTTATCAAACTTGGGTGAGATTTCATCAACAAACCTAGTGTATCTYTGGCCCAAATTGTAAAAGAATGCTCATGACTWTTAACTATTTATAACAACAGTTTTGTATCTTATCCATTTGCAGTTAGATTTTCTTCATATAAAAGCAACTGGTCTTTTCTTGATGCAAGTGTAGAGCAGGAAACTAGTAAGAATCCTAGCAATAACCGTGGATATAGGCAAATATGTAGTTACCWCGTGCTTATATTCTATATCCCACAACTATTATTATGTTGGTGATCAATGTATCCTAATATTGGCGATGGTGTGTATATAATTAAGTTATCCTTTAAGGCTTACTCTTGGTTGTCTTTGAATGTTTACATGTGCATTCTATGTTCTCTTCCTAACTTATTAAGAAATCTGCACAACGTTGTAACATTCATTTGTTTCAGAAGCACGGCACGACTTAGGGAAGGACGCCATTGACAAAGAAGTCGTGGAGAAGGTGAGTTTCCATCCCATCTCTGAGCTATTCTAAAAAGAGTGCAACGTTTAACTTGCTAAATAATTTAATAAAAATGTTTGAACTATAGTAAAATCCTAAAATGTCCTTCAATAATGACTCTGTATAACGGTAACTATGGGTGAAATGGGTAATTATAATCTCCATCCCAAAATTTGCAATGTTCGAGTATGGGCAAATATGCAAGTATAACTTGAAAATGGTAAAAAGGGAAGAGTGATGTTACATATGGTACTTGTGGAATGGGCAGGTTTGGAACAGGATAGCGCCTGGTTTAACATCGGAGTTTGATTCAGTTCATACAGTTCCACTGATTGCACCACGGCCTTTGTTGATTTTGAACGGTGAAATGACATATCTACCATCTTAGTGAAATTTTGCTTATACTTTAATCATAGTTATGTTCCAAGTATAACTTGACAAAAAACACGCAGGCGAAGAAGATCCTCGTTGCCCGATTGCAGGTCTGGATGTTACTATATCAAGAACCTGCAAGGCTTTCCAAGATGCCAATTGTCCAGATAGTTTCAAGGTATTGTTTTTTTAAAGTGATCTAATACACAAGATATATATATATTATGTATCATGTATGGATCAATTAATGAATATAAAACTCCGAATTGCAGGTGATTGCAGAAGCAGGAATTGGGCATGAGATGACGGGGTCAATGGTTAAAGAAGCGATGAATTGGTTTGACAAGTTCTTCCAACCATAGAAGAAATTAATTTGGACTTACGTATTTTGAACAACAAAACTGCTATGTATATTATGTATTATGTATTATGTATTATGTATTATGTATTATGTATGTATATTATCATTCAGTAGAATTTTGAACTTGGTGGTCAATGGTCATGGTCATGGTGGTGACTTGGGTTCAGAGTTGTTTCAAGTTTTATTTTGCTAATGAAGATGCCATTCAATTCTCACTTTGTATGTCAGGCTTTGTCACTCTGTATTTGGGGGTTCATTAGGTCTCATTTAGGTTTTTGAGGTAGACTTTTTCATCTTCTTCATGGTATTTTTTTTATGTATTTTTAGGAAAAAGAATAAATAAAAAAGAGAAAAGACAAAAAAAAAAATCATACAAGACCAAAATGCCCTCTTTTAAGTTAATAGATTTTATGAGATGGAGGGACTTACGGCATGCGAAAATGTAAACCATAAGTCTCATCATTGTATTTATTTTGATTTTGAGATTAAAGTGAGTACAAATTGTAAACCACATGAACCAGAATTTGTAATTTACTTCAACAATTTAGAAACTGTTATAGGAAAAACCAAATTGAACAACAGTAAATAGAGATGATGAATTTGTAATTTTCATTAATCAAAAACCCTTTAAATAGAGATAAGTTATAAGTGGATAACTACAAGACATTTCAATTCTAATMTAATTTTATCTCTAYCATCATATCCTTTAGACGATRACACACTTACAATACAACACTCCCCCTTGTATTGAATTAAATGAGTGATGGTGTACAATTGTTGTCTCGTTAAAACTTTACGCCAAAATGAAACCTAATGGGAAAAAATAAAATTAAAACGAAGGGAATAGTACAATGCACCACCAGTTTCTTTGTAATATATACACTTTTCCTTTAATCTCATATTCATATATTAATCATGAGTTAAGAAAGCAGAATGGTATACAAACTGTTGTCTCACTAAAACATTACACCAAGGAACAAAACTCAATGGAAAAAATAAAATTTTGGATGAAGGAAAGAACGCAACATATTAATATTACATATATAATAGAATTAGACTCTCACTTTTGTCTACTACTCCCCCTGAGTGCATTAATCAAGGGATTACGGAAAACATTCACATTTTAATACTTTCTACATGTTGCCCAAAAATGTGGTTCTAAGTAATGATTTGGTAAAAAAAATATGTTACATTCTCCTTGTATTTTATTTGATTCACTTGAATTTTGAAGAGAGTTTGTTATTGTTGATTGTATAAAAACTTAAACGGAATATGCTTTGTGTTATCACTCTTGATGTATCTTACTTTCATTTCTTCAATACATTATATGGGGTGGCAAAAAATGATCCAACCCATTAACCCAACCCAAAATTAGCAGGTTAGGTTGAGATTTCCTACCCATTTAAATAAATGGGTCAACCCGTCTAACTCATTTAAATAAATGGGTCAACCCGTTTAATCCATTTAAATAAATGGGTTGGGTTGGATTGAATTTTTTGACATGTTTTCAACTCGTTTTCAACCCACTTAAAATATTATATAAATTTATTTTATTCTTAATATTATATCTATTTTATTTTTTATTTTGTTTCTTCTTAAATAAATTAGCCCAAGTTTCATGATGACTCTTCAATTTCAATCCTTCAATAATCAATTCTTCATACGCTTCTTTACTAATCAGTATCATGAGTCTCAATGCTTTGCCTTCGATTCTTCAATTCTTCAATCTTCATACGCTTCAATTCTTCAATCTTCATATGCTTTGATTATCAATCTTTTCCCCTTCTTTTGAGTTCTACCTTCTCCAATCAAAGATTTCGGTTGGTTTCAGACTTTCAGTTTCCGATTTGAGGTTGAGGGCTTGAGGCGTTGTTGAACGATAGCAGTGTAAGTCCATTATGATCATGTTTGTTTAGTATTTTGTTGTTAAACTTCGTATAGATCATATGAATTTCATTCTTCTCTTTGATTATTTGTTACTTTATAACTCTATCGAACTTTAGTGATTTTCTTTCAAGTTTGAATTTGTTTTTTGTGTGGTGTGGCTATCTGTTTCTATCACGGTACCTATACCTCAGAGAGAATTGTTATCATTCGTCTTCGTTAAGTTGTTGTTTTGTACACATGGATTACACTTGCTGAAGGACTAATGGTCTTAGGATTTTAGATACGAGAGTGAAATTGGGGTTGATGAAAGTGGAAGTCGAGTTACTTATAATTTAAAAATTTTCAACTTATTTTGAACAATATATTTGTTGTGGTTGTGTTTTATTCAAAYTTTGAACAATTTGGTTGTATTTGTGGTTGTTTTATGTTTTATTCAAAAAAGTTAAATACTCTAGTTCTTTTTTTATTTAAAATTTTAAAATTAAATGGGTCAACCCAGGTTCAACCCATTTATTTAACAGGTTGGGTTAAGAAAATCGTAAACAGGTCAACCCGTTGTCAACCCATTAACCCAACAGGTTAGGTTGGGTTGAAAAATCTCAACCCATTTAATTAAATGGGTTGGGTTGGGTTGAGATTTTCAACCTGTTTAATAAATGGGTTGAACCCGAACCCAACCCAACCTGACCCATTGTCACTCCTAACATTATACATTATTTCAATATATGCATGTAGGATAATGGTTGAACTCAAACTACTAGCTCCTCTAATATATATATATATATATATATATATATATATATAATGATAGTCCTTAACTATCTACACTATTAAATTCATGTAGAGTAATTCTTAGAGTAGTTTGAGAAGGTAGCTACAAGGTTTTGCTTAGTTTACTTCCAAGTAATAGAAATGTTCCTTATGGTAATTCCTTATCCATTGTATGGGTCAGACATATACCTAATATCAACAAATACATGCCAAGACATATTATGGTGTTTTTCTATTAGCGGTAATACTTTTGCCTCTCACTATCTAAGTAGGTATTAAAGTTCTATTATCAATCTCATTTTTAAGGAAAGTATAAGCCCACGTCAATGGTTCCAAAAGATTAATTTGATATCATTCCAATGACATTGTGTTGGCGTTGAGCTTTAGTTAACAAGTTCACTGAGAAATAGAATATACGATCAAGTGTATAGTGCAAAGTAGAATAATGCACCTATTGTACTTAGATAGGGAATTGCAGTTCCCAACACCTCTTCATTATCATAATTTAGACAAAATATATCTTTCCTTATATCCAACACTTCGACTAATCATGAGAGTGCTAGCCAGATATGCTTTGTTTATGTTAAATCGTCTAATCATTTTTTGGACATATGCAAATCGATGGATTAGTATTCCACAAGCTTGGCGTCCGAGCTCCAATAGCTAGACAAAACTAAGTTTTTCCAAGATCTGTTGTCTCAAATTCAGATTTTCAAGTAGATTATGGTTTCTCTTTTTTCATCAAAAGTRTCTATTATGTTCATAACATCAACATATAAAACTACAGTTGCAATTCTGGAACTCGTTTTTTTTATAAATACGCAAGAGCACAGTTCATCGTTCTTATATCCCTTCCCAATCAAGTATTCACTTAGGCAGATATACCACATCTGCCTAGATTGCTTTAATATATAAAGTGAGTGTTTTGATTTATTGTAAACACACTACCTGGTTTAGAGTTATTTGATTTGAGTAATGTAATCCCATCAAGCACTCTTGTATCTTTGAATCTAGATCCCCATAGAGATATGTAGTAACCACTTCCATGATCTGCATTTCCAGTCCTTTGGAAACTACTAAGTTAATTAATTAGCAAAACATTATAACGTCTATCACGAAAGAGTAAATCTTCTTGTGGTCAATCCAAGATGTTGTGAGAAACCTTGGGCAAAAGGAGAGTCTTATACATTATGACTTAATTATTCTCATTACACTTTCTAAAAAAATGATTTATCTATGCCCTACAGGGTTAGCACTACTAGATCAAATACATGTCATTTGTCAAATAATATAATTCTCCTAGATTGCTTCTTTTCATTTAGGCCAATTTGCTCTTCGTTGACATTTTTCAATTGAGCATGATTCAATGTCATCATGCTCTATCATCTCATGAGCAACAATATATGTGGATATATCATCAATGAGTATGTATGATCTGTCCATTGACTCATAAACACTCTCATAATTCATTTTGAGATTTCGTTGATCGTTGGAATCAATATTAACTTCAAAGCATCATCCATTAATGATTCATAGATATAGTTTTAGTTAGAGACAGTCTCATGAGAGGTTTTTATTGATGATAAATGGTTGTTACTACTCTTCTCTTCTTTTAGATTAGTATCTATCGAACCAAGTAACTTCCCCCATTTTCTTTTGGGAGCCACGACCTCAACCATGCCTCCACCATGTGTGACTTCAACGCACTTTACAGTTATGTTGTGCCTTTGTTAGTTGTGGTGTGCCCTTGTTAGGGGACCTTTTACCTTGCGAATATATTTGAAGCTAATATATGTGATTTTGTCACTTCTGGAATAACATTAAACATATTAGGTATCGAATCTGATAGTTTGACTTCAATTTTGCATTGTGAAGTTTGGGGATCAAAATGAGATAGAGTGGGAATATTCTATGACATTTTCTGTCACTCCCATGAAAAATCCTTTTTCATGTCTCTCCTTAACGATGGAAAGACTGTCTCCATCAAAGTGAGAACCTGCAAATCTAGCATTAAAGAGATCACACGTCAAGGGTTCTAATTAGCTGATAATTATTGGGGATTCATATCTAACATATATTGAATCGTCTTTAAGGACCCATTTTGGTGCGTTGTGGGGGCAACAATTGGCACATATACTACACAACCAAACATGTGTAAATGTAAAATATCATGCTTATATCTAGTTACCAACTATAACATATGATATTAGTTGGCTAGTAGCGGGTCTGATAAGGAATAAGTAAAGTTTCATGTAATGTTTCGCAACCCCAAGCAGATGTAGGTAAATCGGTGGTGCATAACCAATACCCTAACTACCATCTATATTCTTTTGATGACAACTTATACGAGACCATTTTATATATTCACATAGGGTATACGGAACTCTACATTGATTCTAATACATATGCAATAATCATCAAATCCTTATGATGGAAATTCTCCAGCATTCCAATTCATGTAAACTTGATGAGATAGTCAGGTGGTGATCCCCTAAATGTATAGCTAGTGCTAGGAGTGCCGCATTTCATGTGAACTATAATACGACACAAGTTCATC